ATGGTGCTCTCTTGCTACTTCTTACTCAACCCATGCTAGATCTTGCATCTTGCAACTTAGGAAGTAGTTGCACAGTTTTAAGAAGGGGTCTTTATCTATTTCTGCTTACATTCAAAAGGCAAAATCTATAGTGGACAGTTTGTCTATTGTTGTTGAACCTGTTCATATATTTGATTTGGTTTTATATATTCTAGCTGGGTTAGGAACTGAATATGAGTCTGTTGTGACTGCCATAACCAACAAGCCAGATGCGCATACCCTTGGTGTGCATGATATTATTGGCTCTCTTCTGAACCATGAGAGTTGGCTTGAAGAGCAAGGACTTACCTCGTCAGATTCGGGTGTTTCACCAGTTGCATTAGTAGCTGGAGTGAAACCAAAAAATAATACAGGGTTCCAGAATCAGCAAAAAAATTCTTAGAATATGTATAGCCGCGGTAAAGACTGAGAGCGAGGTCAAGAACAAAATTTTTAGAACTATAATTCTCAACAAATTTACAACCAGAATCAATTCTTTAATGGTGGACAAGGTAAGGTACCTCCGATTATCTGTCAGATCTGAAACAAACCTGGACATGGTGTGCTCACTTGTAAGAAGGCGAAATACATTTTTGCAAATAATAGTGATCACAATTATGAACCAGCCGCCTACAATAGTCTCACTGCGCCTTCCTACAACAACGATAATTCTTCATTTGATCCAACATGGTATCCGGACTCTGGCGTAAGACATCAAATGAAATTCGATGTTGATAACATCCAGAATCGGTCTGAATACCAGGGTTCAGATTAGGTCAGAGTGGGTAACGACCAAGTTTTGCAAATAAAACATACTGGCTCTTCATCTTTTCTCTTTAATCAGCATACTTTCACATTGATTGATATATGTCATGTTCCTACAATTTGCAAAAAATTATTTTCCGTTAGCAAGTTTACAAAGGACAATGATATATTTTTTGAGTTTCACTATGACTGTTGCTTTGTAAAGGATTATACGGGGAAAATCCTGCTTCGAGGAGTCAGTAGAGGAGGGTTGTACTGTTTCCCATCAATAGCATCCATTTCACACAACTCGACAACTACACCTTCTGCTCTTGTTGGTGAACAGACATTCCTTCAGGGTTAGCATCAGCGTCTTGGTCATGCTGCATTTCGTAGAGTCTAGCAAGTCGTCTCTCAGTATGGTTTACCGTATTCTGGTCAAAATTCTTGTTTATTTGTTTGTGAATCTTGTCAAATGGGTAAGAATCATTGGTTGTCTTTACCTTTGTCTTTGTCTTTGTCTAGGTCTCAAAGTCCGTTGGAACTAATTTTTTTTGATATATGGGGTCTTTTCCTAATTAAGTCTAATAAAGGGTATTTTTACTATGTGTTATTTCTTGATGATTATTCAAAATTTTTCTATATATCCCTTAGCACAAAAATTTGATGTTTTTGAGGTCTTTTTAAAATTTAAGCGACATGTTGAATTGTTCTTCAACTCCAAAATTCGTGCTTTTCAATCTGATTGGGGAGGGGAGTATCGCAAGTTCTCTTCTTATCTTGATTCATAGGGTATCACTTATCGGGTGTCCTGTCGACACACACATGAGCAGAATGGTATAGTTGAGAGAAAATGTCATCACATTATTGAATCCACTCTCTTTCTTCTGGCTACCTCCAAGCTCCCCTTCTCCTTCTGGGCTGATGTAGCTGAGATAGCCGTATACTTGATTAATCGATTACCTATTCCACTTTATGAGGTTCATCTCCTTTTCAGATGTTGTTTCAGAAGAACCTTGACTACTCTATCCTGCAGTGTTTTAGATGTGCCTACTATCCCCTTCTGTGACCATACAATGCTCATAAGTTTTAGTACCGCTCTCTACAATGCATTTTCCTTGGCTATAGTCACTTTCATAAAGGGTACAGGTGCTTTCACCCGTTGACAGGTCAAGAATTTATTGCCCGCCATGTAGTATTCGATGAAGGTCTATTTCTTGGAATTCCTCTAGCTCCACCGTCCACCAGTACAACTCAACCAGGATTCTATCTACATGTACCTTCACATATTCTAGCATCTCAGGTATCTCCCTCTTTAGTTCAGCCACTAGATGCAACACCTCTTCCCGATAGCACCACTTCCAGTTCGGCTGAGAACTCTTCTCCTATACAAGCTCCTGTTCACAGGCAACAATGTTTTCGTACGATGGAGGACTTGTTGGCTCACACACCAGCTGTATCACCATCCACTCGGCAACACTCTATGATCACCTCGTTCTATGGATGGTACTCTCCTTGCTTGATCACATCTCACCACTCAGTATCCCATTCCAATCGCCTTACTTAGTTCTCTCTTTTCAGAAATAGAGCCTCACTCCTATACAGAAGCAACCAAGTCTCCCTAATGGAGGTCAGCTATGCAGCTAGAGTTCAATGCTCTTTTGAAAAATCAAACATGGGATCTCATGCCGTATCATTCTTCCATGAACGTAATTGGTACTAAATGGGTGCATAAAATTAAGGGGAAGTCAGATGGTTCTTTGGAGTGGTACAAGGCCAGACTTGTTGCCCAAGGTTTTCATCAGGTACCTGGCGTTGATTTCATTGATACATTCAGTCCGGTAGCCAAATCAGTAACTATTCATACCATTTTAGCTCTTGCCACTACTCATCGGTAGTTTGTTCGACAACTGGACATCAACAATGCTTTTCTTCATGGGTTTATAGTAGAGGAAATCTATGTTCACCAACCCATGGGGTTTGAACATCCTGACTATCTAGACTATGTCTGCAAGCTGAAGAAGGCCCTGTATGTGCTCAAGCAAGCCCCTTGTGCTTAGTATTCTCGTTTGACTTCCACTCTTCTTCATTTGGGTTTTCGCAACTCTGTAGCTGATTCCTCTTTATTTATTTACAAGAGTAAGTCTACTATTGTTTACATATTGGTGTATGTTGATGATATCATTGTTATCAAAAATTCTCCGTTTGCTATTTCATCTTTCCTTCAGCGGATCTCTACAATGTTTCCTAAAGGATCTTGGAACATTGCATTATTTCCTTGGGGTCGAGGCGCAGTGGACCTCTGATGGTCTTGATCTCTCGCAGAAATGGTACTTTCTGGACGTATTGCATCGCACCAAACTTGATGGCTCAAAATCCTACACTTCTTGGATGGTAGCATCTGCTCGACTAAGAAAGACCTCGGGCACACCTCTCTCAGATCCATCTGAATACCAGAGTATTGTCGGTGCACTACAGAACATCACTCTCATGAGGCCGGATATCTCCTTCTCAGTCAACAAGGTTTGTCAGTTTCTTCACACCCCGATTGATGAACATTAGTCTGCTATTCAACGCATCTTGCGTTACCTTAAGGGAACCATAGATCATAGTCTACATTTTGCTACATCCTCTACTTCTCTTCTGCTGAATGTCTTCACAGATGCTGGTTGGGCCAGTTACCCCGATGATTGCCGGTCTACGGGTGGCTTTTCCATCTATTTGGGTGGTCATCTAATAAGTTGGAGCTCTAAGAAGCAACATGCTGTAGCTCGTTCAAGCACGAAGTCCGAATTTTGGTCTCTTGCCAATAATGCCACTGAGTTTTGTGGATTCAATTGTTTTGATTGGTCTCAGGTTTCCAGTTTCCAAGCCCACTGTATGGTGTGACAATCTTGGTGCTACTTACCTTGCTGCTCATCCAGTTTTCTATGCTCGAACCAAGCATGTGGAAGTTGATTTTCACTTCCTATGGGATCTTTGTGTGGCTAACAAATTATCCCTTCGGTATCTCTACTCTGAAGATCAAGTAGCTAACATTTTCACAAAACCTCTAGCCACACGACGATTCAAGCTTCACATTTGGACCATTAGCTTATAAATATGATCCAAACTCTTCACCAAAGCCTATAGATACCATTAGCTTTTGTGCTCCAACACATTGAAGTCAATTCCCTCATGTCAGTCTCTCTATTTTCTTTTATTTCTTTAGTTTAAACTTTCATCTTCTTCTCCTTCCTCCATCTTCATCTCTGTTCATCGTCTTCTTGACGGTGAATAGAGAACTACCACTGGCGAAGGGACCTGGCCAGACGATCAAGCCATATTCATCCCTGATTTCCGATGATGAAATCACCGCCGTTGCAACTTCCAATAGCAGCAGTGATTTCTTCCTTTGCCCCCTTTTCCTCTTCGTTCTCCCTCTCTACCTCCCTTTATCAGAACTTTTTCTTCCACCAATAGAAGGATAAAATAGTCTCTTTATCTTGTTGTTAGCAGAATATTAAGAGATATTAACGGTAAGAAAAGTATTAGTCAATTGCCATAAATAGTAAAAATAGTATTAGTCAATTTTCAAATAGTAAGATACACTTAGTCAATTAGCTAAAATATAAGGATAGTTTAAGAAATTTACCCTTAATCAATTATTATTATTATTATTATTATGAGTGGTGTGGGATTGTATTGGGCCCAGCCTGTTTTACATCTCAAAGCCATGAGTTTGGATGGACTCTCCACAGAGCAAGCCCCACAGGCACCCCATAGCCTATCCCCCTACTGCATTGGAAATATTTTTCGTAAAACGTAGGGCATGCTCTGTGGGGGGAGCCCATTCCACATCTCTTAAGAGGCTAAGACTCTTCCATGCTAGTAGGTACATTTGGATACCATTCTTCCTTTGGTAAATGCCAAAGATTGTATGGAGCCAGCCAATTGAGGGATGGTTCCGTTAGTATATTAGTAGGTTGGTCTCAGTTTGGAAGGAGTATATATAAATACAAATATATACCATACAAACAAAATAATATAAATTAGAATGTTTTGAATTTTACATATTTGTATTCGTACTCCTTCCAAACTGAGCCTTGATTGCATAAATTCAATTCTCGCAACCATGGAGGAAAGTTGTTAATGTGATAAGCATCACCAAATAATAAAATTAAAAGAAAAAGCTACAGAAAACATTGCACTAGATTAAAATATTAATTAAGAAAACAAAGCTTTGGTGCAATATGTAATTTGGCTCAGATACAAGGGAACAGGGATGTAGTCAACCCATCAAGTCTAAATAAGCCTCTTCCTTACGAAGTAGCTCTTCAAATACCATAACTGTAAAGCCGAAACCACTATGCAGATCCCCAAGGACATGATACTGAGCCATGCTACTCTGGCATTGATATCTTCACTTATGTTCCTCATTTCCGCTTCCCTGTTAATAAACAACCAATAACACATCTAGATTAAATGTTATTCTATTTGCATGTCTAAATAACAATGGCAACTAAATTTGTATGCATTGAGTCATAATAGAATAAACAGTACCTGCTTCTGATATGGAACATAGTATCATAAATGGAGTCCGTCATTGCCTCAAGTTTCTTCAGCTCAAGCTCAACATCCTGTATGACACATGATGTATAAATATATGCATCAATTCATATATACACTGAGGCTGTGTTTGTTTGTGATGCAAACACTGAACTGGGGTGGATATCTAACTGCTTGTTTAACATTATAATTAAGAGGCCAAAAATATAAACCCACGACCCACCCATTTTACATTTTTGAACCGGAAAGAAGATATTCTTGAACCCATCTTACATTTTGCAAACAAACGCAACCCAAGGGAGGGAGAGGGGTTTGGAACAAACCTCGATCGTTTCTTTTTTTGCCATAGAATCCCAGTCCTTTGCAGCAATTCCGATTTTCCAATCAAGGTTAACACTTACTCCTGCATCTGGATGATGGCCATCCAACCAAAAACATACCAAGTAGTTCCCAACCTCGGTGGCTGTGAATGCAAAATGACCATGAGTGACATTTTCTGCACTATAAACTGTGTTCCCATATGGAGATGCCACCTGAAAAAGAGAAAGTGGGTTTATCAAGTCTGGTACAGATAGAGATGAAAGGATCAATCGTCAATCGATATCCAACAGAAATCACAGGAAATACAATTAAAATGCAACGGACAACGGGGACTTTGTGGTAGAAACCGTACCTTGGCAGTGATGGTGGGGGCGTGTGCTAGGTCGTCGGCGATGAGACTGTAATCACCTGAGATGATGGCGTCGTTGTGGATTTCTTCTGAAACGCACTTGGTCCTTGATGGAGGAATACTCAACCAAATCGCTTCCCCCAAAGGTAGAAGAAGACCCATCGAACTTACAAGAAGAAACAAAGCCGGGATGCGTAGCTCCATCATCGTTTTCCCTGTAGAAAACTTGAACCAACGAAGCAAGAGCACCTTCTATTTCTTGATTGATCTCTTTCGCTTGCCCACTCTGGTTGTGAACAGAGATGGAACAAGCGAAAGCCTCGAAGATTCAACGGATAGGGACCAGAAACAAGAACCCAGATAACTATCTCTCAATCTCTGGTCTGGGTTGCTTGTTCATCATTTACAACATGAATTTATAGACAGAGAATGTCTACTTTTAAGGAGTCCGAATCTATTGGAATATCACTATTAAAATGGCAATTGGTATTCCAAGTTTCAACCACACAAAGGCATGTAGACCAGGACCACGCTCCATTTTGAGTCTCATGTGAGACTTTAGGTTGTGTTTGGTTTTATGCAGTTAGCCCTTTGTTAAAGCCGAAAAAGCACACATGTATGCCAAATTTGCGTCTGATTAAATTATTTTTCTCGGTAAATGCGCAAAAACATTTATATCACTTACCAACAATATTTTTTTTTTATTTTCAGTTAAAAGAATGACATTATTGAAGGGATAATATTCTCTACTACATATTAGCTATTTTCGGCATGCATGAATAAGTAATTTATCCAAGTCTAAGGGAGATCGGCTTCGGTCAAAGCAAGTCCCGTTGGAATACCGTTCCAACAGCCTTTACAGCCTTGCATTGGAAATATCTCCATACTTTTGTGCCTTGTTTCATGAAGAAATATCCCAATGCAAGGCTATGATGGCTGTTCCGATGGACTTTGCTCTTGCTCAGAAATTTATTCTTTTTCATGGGAACCACTAATATCAAAAAACAAATGTGGGTTTATTTGTTTTCCATGGAGCTTACCAACTTATCCGCCCTACTTCCTAGGCCATGGTTAAACACTTTTGCACTAATTCCACCTCCTGGTAGGGCCAAGGTTTAAAATGTTGGTAGATTGGTAGTGTGTATCTTATTAATAAGCATGTTGCGATACTCTTTCGATACAATTGATATGGAGGAAATATATGAAAATGCTGTTGTTTTATTTTTTTTTTTAATTTAATAAGCTACCCAATGGGGGTGGCCCTCCTCCAAACCCCTTAACACCTCAACCTAGTTGGTGGTGGGATTCGATCCTAGGTCTTTGCTATAACTAGCTAGAGACATTACCTATAGGGTGTTCTAGTACCTTCAATATAAAGATGCTTGGGTACTGATGTAATCGTTTTTGGTCACGTACCATTTTTTGGGATGTGTAATATTTTTTTGGCTAAGTACCTCGTGTTTGACCTGGTGGTGACGTGCCTTGGTGATGAGCTACTTGGTGGCGAACTTCCTGGGGGAGAACTGCCTGGTGACGAACTGCCTGGTGATGCTCCCTGGTGGCGAACTGCCTAGGGGCGAACTGCCTGGTGGCGAACTACCCGATGGCGAACCGTCTGGTAGTGCTCCCTGGTGGCGAACTGCCTGGTGGCGAACTGCCTGATGGCGAACTGCCTGGTGGCGCTGCCTGAAGGCGAACTGCCTGGTGACGAACTGCCAGGTGGCGAACTGCCCGGCAGTGCTCCCTGGTGGCGAACTGCCCGGCAGTGCTCCCTGGTGGCGAACTGCTTGATGGCGAACTGCTTGGTGGCGAACTGCATGGGGGCGAACTTCCTGGTGGCGAACTGCCCGGCAGTGCTCCCTGGTGGCGAACTGCCTGACGGCGAATTGCCTGACGGCGAACTGCCTGGTAGTGCTCCCTGGTGGCGAACTCGTCACTTGACTTGCTCCTAGGCGATCTGCAACTCAGAGGATGGTGGAGCTCCCTGGTGCAGCGCTACCCGACTACCC